AATGGGATCGCAACCCTCGGTGTTGCGCCCGCACCTCACTCAGCCAGTGAGCAGGAACCGGTCTGTATGTGGGATCTGAACACTCGGTGGGAGCGCCACCGCGCTCCCAAGTGGCGCACTGTAGCAGTGCGCCACCGGGCCGGCCCTGGATATACGATTTCTGATATATAAATATATAAATTTTTTTTTTCCTTTTTGTCTTTTTTACTGACCGGCAACGGGATCGCAATCCTCAGTGTCGCGCCCGTACCAGGGACTGGCAACGGGATCGCAACCCTCGGTGTTGCACCCGCACCGTGCTCAGCCAGCGAGCGGGAAATGGTCTCCACGTGGGATCCGAACCCTCGGCGGGAGCGCCGCCACACTCCCAAGCGGCACACTCTCTAGTGCGCCACCGGGCCGGCCCTAAATATATAAATATTTTCTCCTGTTCTGTGGGGTATTTTTTCACTCTCTTAATAGTGTCCTTTTGTGCACAAAAGTTTTTAATTTTGATGAAGCCCAATTTATTTTTACTTTTGTTGTCTATGCTTTGGTGTCATATCCAAGAAATCATCGCCAAATCCAATGTCATGAAGATTTTTCCCTGTGTTTTCTTCTAAGAATTTTGTAGTGTTAGCTCTTATGTTTAGGTCCTTCAATCCATTTAGAGTTAATTTTTGTATGTGGCGTGAGATAAAGGTCCAAATTCATTCTTGTGCATGTGGATATCCAGTTTTCCCAGCACCGTTTGTTGAAAAGACTGTCCTTTCCCCATTGTTGACCTTTGCACATTTGTCAAAAATCAATTGCCATATATGTGACAGTTTATGTTTGGTGTTTGTTTGTTTTTAAAAGTATCTTCTTGAAGGCACTTCCATATGGAAATTTAAAGGTGGTAAAGAATTAACTGCATGAAGCAGCAGGGTATTTTCGGAAAAGGGGATCTTAGAAGCTTATGAAACAAAGAGAAAAGGCACCCAAGGAAGGCAGTAAAAAGGCCAGCAATCCTGGGGCTGCAATTTCTGTGGATGCAACTGTCAAGAGAATATAGTACTACTCAAATGTAGAGAATTCTCATTAGAAATGAGAATAGGAAATGAATGTTGTTTAAGAAGACATCATTAAGCACACACAGATAAATACCTTTTTTTATTCAGAAGAGGGTGGCAGGACCAAAGAGTCTTCACCGGATAAAAGAAAAATCTACTAGCAGCAAACAACAACATAAACAAATAAAATACACCTAGGGCCGGCCCAGTGGTGCACTGCTACAGTGCGCCGCTTGGGAGCGCGGTGGCGCTCCCGCCGAGGGTTCGGATCCCACGTACAGACCGGTTCCCGCTCACTGGCTGAGCAGGGTGTGGGAGCAACGCCAAGGGTTGCGGTCCCGTTGCTGGTCCCGGTCCGGTGCGGGCGCGACACTGAGGGTTGCAATCCGTTGCCGGACACGAAGAAAGACAAAAAGGAAAAAAAAAAAAAACAAATAAAATACACCTATAAATACACATACACACACAAACTAAATGGAAAACTTCCCAACAAGCTAAAATACAATTGGCAGTCCTTCAAAAAGTAGACACTGAGGTATGTTGTCAAGAAACCACCATATTTTAAAAAAAGAAATGATAAGAGCTAAACATGTACTGACAGCTGACAATGTGGCAGGTCCCTACAGGCTTTCCACATATCCACTCTTAATCTTCTCAACCATATCTATAAAGGGGAGATCCTAGACTTGTCCCTATTTTCCAGATCAGGAAGCTGAAGTTCAGAGAGCTAAGGAACTTGCCCGAAGTTGTTAACCCCTAGAAAGTGGCAGAGCTGGGATTTGAACCCAGTAGTGTGGCTCTAGATTTTGTGCTTGTAACCACAAAACCAAGGTTCTCAATCTTGAGTATGCATCAGAATCCCCTGGAGGGTTTGTAGATCACTGGGCCGTTTCCTCAGAGTGGGTGATTTAGTAGGTGCGGGGCAGGACCTGAGAACTGACATCTCTAACGAGCTCCCAGGTGATGCTGATGCAACAGGGCTAGGGACTACACTTTGAGAACCACTGCCACAACTAGGAGAGAGAATTCCTGATATATATCATGGGACACAAGTTCTGCTGTTGTGGCCAGGATGTTCATATAAACTATGCTCACACCAATCATCTCCTTAGAGCATTAAAACATCACTGTGGGATTGGCAGGGCATAAATCAAGTGTCCCCACTTTACTGATGAGTAAATGTCCCCAGGGATGTTATTGTTAGGAAGTGGCGTAGCCCAGACTAGATGCTAGATCTTCTGTCTCACGTTTCAGTGCTTTTTACACCACAGGGGTAGATGAGGCAGGAAAGTGGAACACAAGGGAAAAAATTCATCAAAATGAAAGGTGTTCATTAGAAATAAATCTTTTTGAAAAATTACATTTAAAAATGATAAAAACATGGGCAGGTAAATAGGAAAGGGTACGGCTCTGAAACAAACCTAAGTAGGGAAAGGCTGAGTGGTTGCTCGGCAGCTGAATGTATTTCTTGCTCCAGCTCTCTGATGAGTTGGTTTCTTAAAGCAGTGTTTCTCAAGTGTGGC